GAAGAAGGGGGACTTGGTGCCTCGCCTGACAGAGCTCCTGAAGGCAGGCAGCCTGCACGTTGGGAAGTGCATGGTAAGGCCCCCTTGCCTGCCTCCTGCACGGCTCCACACCCTCGGGGGCACCCTGTGCAGGCTTTGCTGCATAGATAACCAATGGGGGGGCCTTTGACATGCCAGGCAGCCGCCAAATTAACTGATTCAATGCTAGCTGCTCCTGCCTGCTCCACAGAGCTGCTAACCAGAACATGCAGGATGTTTCTTACCCCATTTTGGCTCTCCCCCACCGTTGACACCTCGCTGTGCTCCGTGCTGGGGAAGGGCTGTCCCACGTGGTTAGAGCCAGGCACTGTGTCCTGCTGTCTTGCTGCGCTCTACCTCGTGCCCAGCTTGCCAGGGAGATGAGGAGGATTTAGATGCTTTTTTCTCACCCTTCCTCCTTCTAGCTGTGCCAAGCCAAAGGCTTCATCTGTGAGTTCTGCCAGAATGAGAGTGACATCATCTTCCCCTTTGAGCTCAACAAGTGCAGGACATGTGAAGGTGAGATGCTGGGGAGAAACAGGGAGGGGACAGACCTTGGGCCAGCAACATCTGCCTCTTCAGTTTTGAGTGGCATTTGTGCTAGCGAGAGGTACAGAGCCAGAGCCAGCCAGACCACAGTGCTCCTGTGCATGGCCTGTGACTCTGCACCGTGTTATCACAGCAGCAGATCAGCATTATAATGGTGTTTGGCCAGAGCTGCTGGCACAGTGGAGCATGTGGGTCCCATCCTGACCACGCTGTGTGCTGCCTGCCCCGGTGGCAGCAGACATTCAGGTTGTGATTGCAGCAAGCGGGTGTCTGGGAGCCCTGGCTTCTCTTCTGCTGTGGTTACGGGACAGGCTGCAGCCTGCACGCAGCTCCCCTACCCCTGCTTGGATGGCTGGAGCTGAACTTGTAGAGCAGAGAGCCTAAAGGCTTTGTTTCTGTGCCCTTCCTGCCTGCCAAGAAATCTTCGGGCCCCTTCAAGAGTCATCCTCGATAATGTCCAGTACTAACGGCCAAGCAGAGTTTGTCCCTGCAGCTTGGGACCAGCCTCTGAACTGGCTTGAAATGTTTCCTGACAACATGCAAGTCTTGGTTTGGCAGGTGTGGTGCCAGAGAAAATTCAGGGCAGTCACTGTTTCCGTGGACAATCAGGGAAGTTTGGGGAGGTACCTCGTGCGGAGCAGGATACCTCCCGCCTGTGCTCCCAAAGGGGAGCTGCAGGGGCCCTGCAGCAGGACTTTTTGCTGTTTCCAGAACGGTGCTGGACCCCCGCTTCTGGTGCTTGTTCTGCCATGGCTTTGCTTTGAAATGTCCTCATGGACAAGCCTGGAGCATCCCTCTCCGGGGTGCAGAGTGCCAGGCGGTCTGTGTCAACACCCTGCCAGCCCTCAGCCATGCTCTCCCCCTCTCCCCACAGAGTGCAAAGCCTGCTACCACAAATCCTGCTTCAAGTCCACCCGCTGTCCCCGCTGTGAGCGGCTCCAAGCCCGGAGAGAGCTGCTGGCCAAGCAGAACATGGAGTCCTACGTCTCGGACTACGAAGATGAGCTGGAGCAGCCGGAGGCAGTGGCAGCCACATGAGCACGTTGCAGCGGAGGAGCAGATTGTGGGTTTATTTATGTGTGTGGCCTTTGTCACCAGAGACTGAGCCACACGGACTGGAGATGAGGAGGACCATCAGAAGGCCTGGAGCACTGTCTTGAGGGATCTGTTTTCCCCCGTGCAGTAGTGCTGGGCTGGGGAGAAGGGTCATCTTCCATCGTCCGGGTCTGCTCCAGGTACCGCTCGCACTCCCTGATGCCTTTGCTTGGGGAAAGGCGGTTGCTCCCGCCTGTCCTGCAGGCAGAACAGGGGCCTTTTCCAAGCAGTTGCTCATGCTGGACCAGGCAGGGCTGTGCTGCCGTCCCCGTGCCCTCCCCAGCAGGGCCCCGCAGGGGGTCAGCACTTTCTGCTCACCAGCTGGATACTAGGAAGCTCTGGCCACGTCTGCTCCTCAGAGGGGAGAAATCAGCCGAGTCCTCCAATCCCCTGTCCTGCTGCTGGGCATTGTGTGCATGGAGGGAGGGTGGGGGTTTGGGGTTGGTTGTACATTTAACAGCTCCCTTTCTCAAATCTGGGGACACTGCCAGAGGGCAGTTGCTCTCATTCCGGGATCAGAGCAGAGGTGGCAGTGGTGAAAATGCCAGATTTCTGCCTCACCTCTCTCTGTGCGGTGTGTGCTGGGCTGCTTTCCCTGCCCTGCCACCGCAGCCTGTGCTGCCGAGGGGCACTGCCCCTGGAGCAGCTGCACAAGGGGACCGGTGCTGCTGGCCTTTCGGCAGAGGCAGATCCTCATGGCTGGAGGATGCGGTAAGCAAGGCTTCCAATCCTGCTTCCTTCTCATGCTGCCCGTCTGTCCTCCCAGAGGGACATGTCCTCCTCTAAGGGTGACATGGGACCTCACTCTGGTGGCACCAGGACCTGCCTTGGCATCCATCTGCCTTCTGCCTGAGACCCACGGGGATGTGGGTGAAGGCTCAGCCCTCCAGCTGCATCCCCCCAAGCCTGTCTCGGTTTGTTCTTTTAGGTTGGTTTTTTTTTTTTTTTTAATCTGCTGGATTTGGTTTTAATTTTTTAATGTGGTTGTTTGTATTTTTAACTGTGTGTTCCCCCCAAGGAGGTGCTGCTTGAAATCCCTTTTAGGGGGCATGCGATCTGCTTGGGACTCACCAGTATAAAACCTCCAGGGCTGTCCTGCTCCTGGTTTTCCACCCCTGGAGTGAGCTGGCATTTGCCAGGTGTCCCCTTTTCCCAGCAGATCTCCTGCTCCTCTTGGGAGAGGGGTCCCTGAGCTAGGCAGAGCCTCCAGGCTTTCCGGCTGTGGTGCAGCGGGGTGGCCAGGCAGCCTGCTCACAACATGGGGTACACAGGGGAGAAGGGTTTGGCACTGGGGTGCTGCAAAGGGTCAGTCCCTTGCAGATGCGGAGCCGGCATGCCACAACTGATGGCTCCATGGGTTGGACCCTGTGGTACAGAGTGAGCTAGCGGTCAGTCGAGGAGGTGCCTCTGCATCGCAGGAGGATGCTTAAGCCCATGGCATGGGTGGGATGTGAGGTGTGGCCTGTGTACGTGCAAGAAGGGTGCTGAGGGACCAGGGAGCGATATGCTGGCAGAAGGCGCCATGAGGCAATGGCTCTCGCAGTGCGTGCCCTGGCTTGAGGCTGGGACGTGACCCCTCGTGGGCTGTCCCTGCGGGCTGTGGCGGGGTTCCAGGGCAGAGGCTGGGACCAGGACGGGTGGCTGCAGGGCTTGGCCAGGGAGGGTGGCCAAGAGCCTCACTGCTGGGGGCCAGGCTGCTGCATGGCAGTATCTCTCCCCTGCTCTGCAGCATCCTGACAAAGCCATGTCTAGCCCAGGAAAGGGGGTTCAGCTCCCCACCTGCTCCCCTAGGGTTTTGCCTCCTCTTGTCTTGCTCCTGCTTGTTTTCCCCAGGGGAGCAGCTGCTCTCCTGCTTGCTCTCCAGCTCTGCAAGCCCTGGGGCTGCCAGATGCTGGTCTGCCTTGGTCTTGCCTGACCCCAAGCTGAGCGCTCCTGCTGCTGCCCAGAGCTGGCACCCCCTTCCCCGGAGCCGCCTCAGCGGGACCATGCTCAGCAGGACACCTCCATCCACCCTGTTTTGTTTGAAGCACTTTAATGTCATGGGACAGCAGCTGAGAGGTTGCCCACGTCCTTTTCTAGAAGCACTGACTACATTTAGAGAAGAGGAAAGGGATTTTGGTTTATTTGTGGTTTCCACACTCCACCATGGACTTTGGAAGTAGTGGGACTTGCAAACCCAGCGGAGGTCTCCAGGGCAGGGTTGTGCCCAGCACTGACTGCTACAAATAACACTGGAACTGGCCAAGGCAGCAAGCTCTTTGTAAGGGAGAGCAGGGGGCTGCCCTGGCCATAAACTGGAGCCTTCCCCACAGGACTATTGCACAGTGTAGCAACAAAAATGCCGTCCCTAATAAACTAAATTAATGAGGGTTCTGGTTGTGTTGTGGCATTGTTTCAGGTGGGATAACGGTGGGTGTCCCTACCTCGGGGTCGGTGCTGCAGTGCCCATTGGGACAGGGAGGGAGCAGGATGCGCCAGCTGGTGGCAGGGGACAGCGGGGGGACAGCTAGTGCAACTGGTGATGCATAGCCAGATGTCACTGGGAGGGGGTTATTGTCACCACCCCTTGACTACTCCATCTGGTTCGTGGCTTGCCCCTCCAAATCACTCACTGGATTCAGGGCAGGAGGTACAAGCTGCTGAGTAAGGGGCTCTGTAATGCCTGTCCCCATCCTGAGCCTGCTTTTGCTGCTGGCAGGGGGGCCCAGGGGAATGGCCTTGGCTGCCTTGTCCCTGCTTGCACCCTAGTCCCATGAAGCGGGGCTCTCCCCTTGTAGCAGTGTTGTGCGTTGCCCCATAAACACCATAGGCACAGGAGATACAAACTGTAAACTTTAAAACGACGTCGAAGGATGCACATGCAAGCCCAGCACAGCGCTTGGCTCTGCACGGAACGAAGCAGGACTTCCCTGCGGGAAGCACGGCATGAGAAGCTGGTTTCTGGGGTTTTTTTTTCCCCCAGAAAAGCCTTGCTCAGCCTAAAGCTAAACTGTGGTTAGCAGCAAGAACAGCAACTTGGGCTTACACCTGAGCATAGTGGTTGTAGAAAAGGTGTCTGGCAGGCGTGGGCACACTGAGGATGGGCTCTCACAGCCGCCAGCGAACCTGTGGCAGTAGGAGGGCCCTGCACAGCCCCCCTGGGGCCCCAGCTGAGCAGGGGCTGATGGCAGAGAAAAGAAACCTGCAAAACCCCAGGGCTTGCTGCTGTTACAGTGAGCCCTCCGCCAGCATCCGGGGCGATCCCTGGCCAGGCATTGAGGTATGAGCCCGCACCTTGGCAAAGACACGTCCACCCCAGTACGGAGAAGGACAAGCAATCTCACGCCCTGCTGTGCCTGTCACTGGGAGGGCGTGCGGGGGGCGTAGCGACGTTCAAACTGGCCCACATCAAACTTGCGCTTGCAGCCGGCGTAGTTCATGTAGCGGATCTTCCCGAAGATGGCCCGCTCTGCCCAACCCTGGTCGTGTATGCCGCAGATGGACCAGAGGCAGCCTGCCGGGGATGGGGACAGAGTGTCAGCTCTCTCCTGTGCTTGGAGGCATCTGGAGAGCAGGTGGGATACGGATGCAAAGCAGGACAGGCTGGAACGTGGGCTGGGTTGTCCCCAGGGAGCCCTCTTCCCCCCCCCCCTCCCCACTGCCTTGGCCCTCAGATATAAGACCCGCCGCCCCCTGCCCCTCTTGTGCAACTTGCCTACGTATCCATTGGGATCCCTCCCGTCCAGCTCGTAGCGGTCATTGAGGTAGATGGCAAACTGCAGGGCCTCCTCGGGGGAGCGGGTCCACTCCAGGATCTTCTTGGCCCAGTACATCCGCAGGAAGCCATGCATCTTGCCCTCCCGGACCATTTGGAGCTGGGGGGAAAGGGACAGCCACATGGGTCAGTCCATGCCAGCTCATCTCTGCCCCTTGGGAAAAGGCTCAGTATTTCAAGAGGAGACACAGGACGCTACCTGGGCAGCGTTCCAGAGCGGGTCATGCGTGGTGCCCTGCTCCAGCTCCTGCAGCTTGTAAAGAAAAGGCCTCTTGTCTTTGGCGTGAAGCTTCAGGGTGGTTTGTGCCCAGTCGTAGGCACCTGTGAGCAAGAGAGATGAGGAGCAACACTGAGCAACCTGCTGCTGCAGGGCTGTGAGGAAGGGATGGGGAATTGGGCTGCTGAGGGCACCGTGCCCTGGAGGCACCAGCCTTGAAGAGGGCATCCACCAGCTCCTGTCCTGCCTCCAGAAGGTACCAAATGATGGTATATTAGTGCCCCCACAGCCCCTCTCCTAGCAGAAATGGGATTGCCAAGTTGGGGTGACCAGTTGGGTACCAGTCCGGCCCCCAGTGTTGCCCACCTGACCTGGGATGCTACCTTGCACGCTGTCGTAGTTCTCATTGTAGTAACAAAAGTTTTCAGCCAGCTCCCGCCGCACCACGGCCTCCTCCACGAACACGTCCACTGACTCCTTGTACTTGCCTCGGTGTTTCTGCACCTCCAGGATGGCTCGTTGGGTGGAAACCTGGCCTGGGGACATGGGGAGGGAGGAGGTCGGGCTGCTGGTGTGAGCTGCTGTGCTGCGGGGTGGGAAGCCCAGGGCACTCACCAAAGTGGAACCATGGGGACAGGTTGCTGAGTGCCGCCTTGTTGGGGTCATTCCGGTGGGAGCCGAAGGATTTCAGCCGCTCCGTGATGAAGGACTGCAGTACAGCCAGCCCCGCAGCCGTGCCGGGGGTTGCCCACTCCACCTCCTTCACGGTGCGGTCCACTTGCAAGCTGGAATAACAGGCCTCCCAAGCAATGGGCTGGGTGGCAACCACACAGCATGAGTGTA